AAAAAACAAACATGTTGGTCTTTCTATCTTTCTTTCATATTGTTGTTCATGTTTTTGAATTTTTGGGTTTGGGATTTAGGGATTGTAATCTTCTCTTTCAACCTATTTTAGATGGCCCAAGGACACTGAGGAAGAAAGACCCACGCCACACAAACAATATTCAATTCTCTGGAGTCCAGTGTCCGGTGTACATTTTACATTACAGACTTCCGTCTACAGAGAAGAGAAGACCCAACTGAGCTCAACAAAACCAGACCAGACAGAGGGGGACGGCGTCGTTTCTGAAGTTGAACGGGAAAGAAGATGAACACAGACATCACTGCGTCGACGAAGCCCGAGTACCCGGTTATAGATCGGAACCCTCCATTCACCACAGTCGTCGGCAACTTCAGCACCCTCGATTACTTTCGCTTCGCCACCATCACCGGCGTCTCCGTCACCGTAGGCTACCTCTCCGGTCTCACTCTCACTCTCACTCTCATTTCCCGATTTTCTTGTTTTTCAAATGACGCAGTAATTTTGATTAATGGTTCTTTAATTTTTGTAATTTATAGGGATTAAGCCAGGGATTAGAGGGCCGTCGATGGTCACCGGAGGTCTGATTGGGCTAATGGGCGGGTTCATGTACGCTTACCAGAACTCGGCGGGACGCCTCATGGGCTTTTTCCCCAACGACAGTGAGGTAGCCCGTTACAAGAAATGAAATGAAATCAATGTCCTCAATTTTAGGGTTTTGGATTTTTAATAATCAGATCGTTCCTTTTGTGGTGAATTTGTTCATGTGCTATCTGAGATTAAAACTTGTGGTTTTTTGATTCAATGTCAAGGCCGTCATTTTTAAGTGTTAAAATGTCATACAACTGATAATAAAATGCTCTTGTTGAATTCCTCATTGTGTGATGCTACACGAAGTAGTCGAATATTTGAACAAGTTGATTTTATTTGTGATTAAAGAGGTGGTTCTTTTTGCATTATCTATTAGTGTTAGCTCAGCAGTCAGCAGCTCTCTGAGTCATAGTGGGTTCATTTAGTTAGAAGCATATGAGATTTCACTATATTCAGTCAAGCTGAACATGTGGTTTTCCTTTTATGGGATTGCAAATTAAAAATGCTCCGGTATGTACTTCCTTTGAGCCGTCATATAAGTAAAAAAGATCTTTTAGGAGCCAGCATCCCCTTTCCCTTTCCCTTCCCTCTTCTCCATGTTGGTCAGCAAATGGAGCATAGTACCATTTCAGGAGCAGGATCGTTTACATTCTTTGCTCTTTCATGAAAGGCTTGAATTGGTGATATTATTGTAAAACTGGAATTGAATCTTTAGACTTAGGAGTCTTATAGCGATAAGAGTCTGGTTCTTAATATGCTTTTGTGATTGAGGCATATGAGGAGGACATAACTTGTAATGAGGAAAACATCACATTCACTGGAGATGAGTCAGTCAGACTTTGACAATTGTAGTAATGTTCTTTTACTTATAGAGGATAGTTTATGAAATTTGTTAGAGGCGAAAGAAAACTTGTATAGAGTAGGAGAAGAAAGTGAAGGAAAAACAGCTAAACACTAAGCAGGCAGTGCTACTAACTGATTGCTCCATGATTATCTGATCTGGACAGATAATGAGCTCTGTTGAACATAAGTAGTGAGCTCTTTAATGGTTTATTGAATCTTGTTTTCACTTTTAAAGCTTGGGGAGAGGGGAGGGGGAATGACCAGCTCAGTGGGGGATTGTTTTGTGCAAAAATATTGTGTGTTCTACTTTACTCTGTCTTGAGTAGAATTTTGGTTTAAAGAAAGAGAGAAAAGAATTACTTTTGTATGGAGCATGTGGATTATTATACATATATGATCATGCCAATTCATTTTGGGAGATCCTATAGATTGAGAGGGTTTTGTATGAGATGACAAACTGTCATGTGAAATGTCTGTTTAAGTTAATGATAACAGAATGGCTGTGGGCAAGGGACAGTGCCAGTGATGGTGCTGCTGTAAAATGGAAATTGTTAGTTTTATTGTAAGCAAGCAATTGTCGTTTCGAAACTTTGAAAGAGAGGCTTTGTATATATTTTTTGGATTGAAGGGCCTACTCAGCGTTCCAATTTTCATCACTAGGCCTGCTGGTTTCATTTTGTTAATGGGCCTACAATTTTGTAAATAGGTCGATAGTTTTGTTAATGGACTGAGTCATTCTATAGTGAGAGTCATATATATATGGGGCGGATCCGTGACACTATATTTTTGACACAAGTTTTGACACAATTTTTGGGCCATTAGATTATTCCACTTTTAATGGATGAGATTAAATCTGACATAATTTTTTTACATAAAAAATAATTAAAGTATTTTTCTCTCTTCTCTCTATTTTCTCGGAAAGTTAAATTTCTCTCACAAAAGCATTTTTTTTCTCTCCTCTTTCTCTTCCCTATCACGTTTTCTGCTAACACTCTCTTTCATTAGACAAAAAAAAAAAAAAAAACAAACATGTTGGTCTTTCTATCTTTCTTTCATATTGTTGTTCATGTTTTTGAATTTTTGGGTTTGGGATTTAGGGATTGTAATCTTCTCTTTCAACCAAGATGAGTGAGGACTAGATGTTGGCAATTTTATATTTGCTTTGTGTAGCTTCATTTCTGAAACTCCAAACTTTGAACCAAGCCATTAAAAGCCTTAACACATAAGAATGTATCACCCTGATCTTGTAAAAAGAAAAACTTTATTGGAGTTATGCGAGTCAATTTTACCATCATTTCTCAAGCCTTAAAGGGAGTAGCGGTAAGGAAGTTTGTTCGAATTAGAAGGTAACCCAACTTAGCTTTTTTTTTAAAAAAAGACGAAAACCAATGAAAAATTGGGACTTTTCACCTAATATGCAGGATTTTTTTAGTTAGTTTGTTTCTTGCTTGCAAGGCCTGTTTTGTCTTCAGTTTTCTTTGTTTTTAGTCTGGCTGTGTTTCCTTTTTTATCTCCAGCGTTTGGAATGGAATTGTCTTCGACAAAAATGAAAATAGTACTATAGCAAACAAAAATCTTCACAATTATTGTACATTTCTTCGAGTCTCATTAGAAGATCAAGAGACAACTTCGAGCGGTTAAAGCAAGAGAGAGAGAGAGAGAGAGAGAGAGAGAGAGGAGCAAGATGGTTTTTGGGTCTGATGAAAGAGAGAGTTGGCAGATAACAGGAAAGATGAGAGAGGAAAATTACTTTGCTGAGAAAAATTTACCTTTTTGAGAAAATTGATAGATGAGAGAAAAATATTTTAAATAATTTATTTATGTCAAAAGGTTTAATTTCATCCATTAAAAGTGGAGTAATCTAATGGCCTAAAAATTGTGTCAAAAATATGGTGCTACGGATCCACCCCCTATATATATATATATATATATATATATATCTTAGGTGAGATTTTATCTGTTAATTATTTTATCCAACGGCTAACTAATTTAATCTAACGACTAATGAATTTGATCCAACGATTAAGAGATAAGGTCTCACCTAAGGGCCATATATAAGGCCCTCATTATAGAATTCTTGTTAATGTACTTACTGTTGGGCTGACATATTTTTGTAATGGGCCAATTAAGAACCAACCTATTCGTTATCATTGGGCGAACACTTTGACATCTGCATGGAATTGGACGACTCCTCGTCCGCCTGCAATATATGCTACCACTTGACACTTTACCAGGCAGCTTCTTTCTTCTTTTACGTACGCACACACACACACACACACACGCATCTTTCTTCCCTCATACGATACGAACGGTAGTGTTGAAATTGGAACAACAGCTTAATCAATATATAAAGCAAAGCATAGTTGTCGTTAACATTTTTCATAATTATACATGAAAACGTATGCTTTCCAGTTTCCAAATTCAAATAGGTTAAAAGAGATTATGAAATAAGTTGGAAGGGGAATATAACATCAGTATTAATTGGTGGCTGTCAGTTACTTCATAGCCATAAAACAAGACTATAAAAACCGCGTCTACAAATGAGAGAGGAAAGATGCGTGTGTTCCCTAAACTATATATATAATATTTCTTTTTTATTGAAGAATTTTTTAAATAATTTTATTTGAAGGACACTCTTAGAGTACCCTACAATTTTTTTCTCAACGATCCAAACCATATATTTTTTTTAAGTCTACATTCATAGATCATCCTTGCAAAAAATTAGACAAATCGAAAAACGTTTCAACACCCAATTGTATCATACAAAATCAATGAACATAGTTATTCAAGAAAGTACTAAAATTTCAATAACACAATTGAGTCGTCAAACAATATCGGATTCAAGTGATTTTTTTGTAGAGGAATGATTATCTAAAACATAGACGATTTGGATTAGTAAAATATAATGTGAAGTGGGCCCTACGAAGGTGTCTTTTAAATAAGCTAATTTGAGGGATCCCTCAATGAACTCACTCTCTCTCTCTCTCTCTCTCTCTCTCTCTATATATATATATATATTTATATATTTGAGTAACAATAATTTGTAATTACGAATTGGATTATATTTACATAACATTAATTTGTGTCCGCAACTGCAGGTGCAGTGCCGTGCAGGCGGAGTTATGCCGTGTGTGCTGAATGACCAAAGTGAAAGTGCATGTAACCAATTAATAGTAGAATATACATGAAATGAAACTCATAACATAAGGAAAAAACTTACGTGAAATGAAGCTTCTGTAAAATTACACTAGAAGTTCCCTTCACGCGTTTTTGTTTTTCAGATTTCATTTCAGGGCCTTGCCCTTCTCTCTCCTCTATAAATATCCCACCACCTGTAGCATTCCTTACTTGCATTTCTTGAGTCCCACTCTCTCACATTCTCCTCCTCTCCTTCCAGCAGCAGAGAAATTTCATTTTTGTTTTTTCAGTAACTCATCCATTTTCTTTATAGCAACTTCTAGTTGCTAATTAATTTCAGTAAAAGGTATCCCTCTTTATAACTCTATCTGTTTCGTTGTTGCATTAATTTTTGTTCCCTTTTCCATTGAATCTCGTTTTAACTCAATCTCTTCCATTTAATTTTTGCATTAATTTTCGTCTTTGCAATAAGGTTGGATAAGCACCAAAGCCACCAGCTAGCTACTAGTATGACAGACACAAGAAGCTCTGGGCACCATTTAGACCTCGAGTCTCAGCAGACGGTGTTGCTCATAACCGGTACCAACCCGCCACGAGTCGACCACTGGCGCTGGATTTTTGTGATCCTCCAAGTGCGCAAACTCCTCATCTCATCAAGAGCCAATCGAGCTGACAAGGCATCTCCTCAATCTCTTCCTCAACCCTCATCATCCGCTATCCATTATACAGTTACCAGCACTGTTGCTGCAGGAGATACACCAGTGAGTATACTATACATATAGCCAAATTATTGCTACAGCTTTCCCACCGCTAACTATATATAGCTAGCTAATTTGAAGAAAATATATGACATAGTATAAAGAATCTTATGTGAAATCTCAATTTTGTTCTTCTATCAATATTACCATTTAATTGAAGGAAGTTGAGGTTCTACTCAAAACCAATTGGCAATGGAGGGAGTAACCCAACTCCTTATAAACCCAGGCTTGGTCCCTTAATATTTCAATGTGGAATAAATACGGTCAACATGCCCCCGCACGTGTGGCGAACTTTCAAGCCTAACACGTGGACAACACATATTGGGTGACGTGGGAGCACGTGTGAATGTGGGATTTTTTACATTCACATTCTCACATGCCTCCGCACATGTGGCAAATTTTCAAGCCTAACACGTGGACAACACATTTTGGGTGACGTGGAGCACGTGTGGCCGTTAGGCTTTCACACGTGGGCAACCCACTTTGATACCAACTCCTTATAAACCCAGGCTTGGTCCCTTAACATTTCAACGTGAGACAAATACTCTCAACAATAATATCCTACTGTACATATCTTTTTATGAAAAAGTCATAACATATGGAAAACAACTCTTATATATGTATTGGTGCTGCATAATATATCTTTTACATCATATTCCAATCTTTTGTGTGTATTATGTATTGGTACCGTAAAACATGGCCTATGATGATCTCTACTTTTGTCTGAGCAAATACTACTTTGACAGTTTTGAGTCTGATTAAGACTTTTACTCCACGACTGTGACTGGAATGCTGAGTTATTTATGGGCTATTCTAGAGCTTGACAGGCAGATGTAATATGTTGCTAGATCTGAGCCCCAAAATCGACCTGAGATTCACAATCGAGCAACATATAATACTTGTTTCGGTTCTTACTCTTGTACCAAATTGAGCTGCAGTTCAAGTAACTGTAGTTAAATTACTGCTAATTGATTTTTGCAGGACTTGGAACTCACAGGGACTACAGAAATTTCACCTGCCTCACCTCAAGTTTCTGATGTCCATTTGAGCAGGGATAGTACTGCAAGTGATGCTGAACTCCAGCATGCAAATGTTGCCAAGATAGTGAAGGACGAGGATTTTGTTTCCTTGCAGAAGTTTGGAGGCACCCTAGGGATTGCAGAGGCACTCAACACAGATTTACAAATTGGAATTTCAGGCGAACAAGAAGATATTTGTCATCGACGCATGGTCAATGCACTCTCGACAACACAGGCTCCTGCTCCAAGCTTCTTCAAACTTCTCCTTCAATCGTGCAACAATTACACCATTGTCCTTCTCTTTGTGGCTGGATTGCTGTCAATTGGGTTTGGCATCAAGGTGGAAGGCCTAAGGACCGGTTGGTATGAAGGGGCCATCATAATGTTTGCCATCCTCATACATGTGATTGCATCTTCCATACGTGACTTCTGGCTTGAAAACTCACACAACCATAATGCAGTGATACAGACTGCAGGGATGAGTGAAAATGTAGTTGAGGCCTTCAGAGGGGGTTGTCCGTGTGAACTTTCTGTATCTGATGTTTGACGGTTTGTTTGTTTCTGGTGAGTTCTTAGTATTGGATGATGGTATGGAGACAACCATTGATGACAAGAAACCATTTATGTTCTATGGTGCAAAGGTGGTTAGTGGAAATGGTCGCATGCTAGTTACCTCTGTGGGCATGGACACGGCATTGGGTGAGCTGATGAACCGAGTAGCACATACTCCTAACCGTGCCCAATTACCAGCTCAACTTGACAAGATGAACACACGCACCCATATTGCCGGGCTCTCAATCTCTATTCTCCTCCTTGTAGTGTTGTTCTTTCGTTTCTTGCTTGAAAAGAAAGATTACAGCTCTGGCCTCCCAGAGCTTAAGGGGAAACAAACTGCAAGTAAGGAAATAATGAATGAGATGGGGAAAGTTTTCTTGAAACCAAGTGGGCAGATTAGCATCTTAACAACAGGTCTGGCCATCTTGCTTGTAGGAGTAGTGGAAGGGATACCTCTTTTTGTTACACTTGCCATTACCTATTGGAATAGGAAGACACTGTCTGGCAAGGCCATTGCTCAAGGAATTTTGGCTTGTGTCACCATGGGCTCTGTCACAACCATTTGCACTGACAAAACTGGTGTGCTGACTTTGAACTCGCTGGAAGTCGACGTGTGCTATATTGGGAACGAAGTCATAGAAAATGACTGTGTCACCAGAATAGACACAAGTGTTCGTGAAGCTTTGTGCAATGGAATCTGCACACCACTTTTGAAATCGTCAAGCTCTTGCAGCTCATCAGAGGACCCGCTCCTTCCCTGGGCTGCCAATTTGGGGATGGAAATTGAGATTTTGAGGCAGAGCCACACCATCCTGGAGGCCAAGGAGTTGAGCACCAACGAGGAAGGCAGTGGAGTATTGATGAAAAAATCCAGTGACAATGAAGGAGATATGTGCTTGCATTGGAAAGGACCTGCAACAACAATATTAGCCATGTGCTCACACTACACTGACAGTAGAGGGACAATAAAGGTCATGGATGAACAACGTAGACTGGCTTTTAACCAGATTGTAGAGCACATGCAGTCCAATCTCAAGACCATTGCATTTGCTTACAAGCAGACTGATGTTGCAATGCTTGAAGAAAACAGCTTAATCTTAATAGGACTACTAGGTGTGAAGTATACATGTTGCGAAGATATAATGGAAGCAGGAGTGAACATCATATTGGTGTCAGAAGAAAAGGTGTCAAAGCTGAAAGACATTGCTGTTGCATGTGGAATATTTGCCAACTCAAACAGGTTGGTGCTCGAAGGCGAAAAGTTTCGAAATAGTAGTGCAGAAGAAAGGATGGACATGGTAGATAAAATCTGCGTGATGGGAAACTCCATTCCTTCAGACAGGCTCCTTTTGGTGCAATGCCTGAAAGAAAAAGACCACGCTGTGGCGATGGTTGGAGTCAGAACAAATGAGACTCCAACTCTTAAAGAAGCAGATGTGGGCGTTGCAATGGGGACTTGGAGTAGTGAAATGGCAAGAGAAAGTTCTGACATCATCATCTGGGATGGAAATTTTAGTTTCTTGGTCCCCATTATAAGGTGCGGAAGATGCATTTACTATAACATTCAAAAGTACATCCAACTTGAGCTCACCATGAACATAGCAGGGCTGCTGATAACAGCCACTACCACAATGGCTTGTAGAGAGAGTGCAATTACAGCAATTCAGTTATTTTGGGCAAACATGGTTGTGACTCTTCTAGGTGGGCTTGCTCTACTGATGGAGCCGCCGACAAAGGAACTAATGGAGAAGCCACCGGTCAGACGAACTGACTGGCTCATTAGCAAGGTAATGTGGAGAAACATTGTCAGTCAAGCCTTATATCAGAGTGCCATCTTGGTCAGCTTTCAACTAAAAGGGCAAACCGTCCCGGGCATCAGCAAGAAGGTTAGCGAGTCCATTGTTTTCAACAGTTTTGTTCTGTGTCAGGTATTCAATCAAGTCAATTCAAGGGAGCTAGAGAAGAAGAACGTGTTCAGGGACATACTTCACAATCAGTGGTTCTGGGTGTCTGTGGGTGGCATTCTTGTCCTGCAGGTGGCTTTTATTGAGATCTCACATATTCTTGTTGGCAATGCAAGGTTGAATTGGGCACAGTGGGGTGTGTGTCTATTAATTGGGATGGTTTCATGGGAAATTGATTTGGTTGTGAAGTGTGTATCGGACGTTGTCGTGAATGGAACATTCAGCTCTCATGTTGGATGTATTAATAATAGTATGACACCCTCTGCTGTCTCAGGTTCTGCATCTAATCTTGAGCTCCCACTCATTGATGGAAATTCCACAAGACCCATGATCCTATGATCCCATCTTAGTTTTTGTATCAAAAAATTGTGGCTTCTCTCCACTTTTTGGAAGATATTGAGTGAATCCTTGTGAATGCTTCCTAGTTAGTTTGTATATTCAATCTTGCATACATTAATTCATCCAAGATGGAGAAGAATAGAACACACACAGTTTTTCTCGAAGGCTTAGAGATTGTTCAGGGCTATAGATTACCGCATGCATTCTACTCAAGCAAAATTTCCAAGAAACAATCAGTATAGAGAGATTAGCATAGAATAAAAGAAAAAAACCAAATCAGGAAATTCAACAAATACTTGGAAATCTACTCTACCTCTAACTCTAAAGCAATGCAAACAAATTAACAAAAATTGCATCTCACCTTCACCTTAGATATAGTGAAGTCAAAGCTTTCCGGGTAGCGCACTGGTAGGTTTATGCAGAGCGGAGAATGACTGAATGCATTGCACGGTTTGGTGGTAACCTATGGTTGACCTCTCAAGTCTCCTCTTTTTTGTTTTTTGTGGTTGATTGACCCCTCAAGTCCACAGATCAAAGATGCGGTACATAATAACGATAAAGCTGTATTGCCCCCATGAAGTAACGGTGTTCCACCATGCCATGCCACATTGACGGGTAGTTGGTCTCACTTTGCCCTCCACCACCTTCAATTCCCTCAAAAATTCTGTCATAAAGTTTGACAAGGCTCTCACGAGATTTAAGGGGGCACTAGTATAATTAAGCCTAATGATTATTCAAATCCCGTAGACGACGCGGTGTAACTTCAGTTCTGTATACTCCAAAACGACATACCTGTCTACTGACACACAATGAGCATGTAAACACCCCCATACCCATCGGTCCCATACCCATTGCAAATATATGTAGTGTAAATATCACACGCCTGGTCTAGTTAAAAGTTTATCTTTTCTTTTCTTATCCTTGAAGCTTCGACATTTGAAAATTAATAATAGAGGGGACTCTTTTGCTGCAAAGAAAGAAGCAGCCAATCCACCTCCAGCTTTCTCTTCTGCATGCCATTCCATTCCATACACTCCAAAACAAAACGTACATCCTCCCTCACACTGATTGGTAGATAGATAGAGAGAGAATGTTAATGTAATATTTGTCTTTGTCATGCATTATTGTTCACACCGCCCCCACATAATACATTCTTCCCTTCTATTCTTCACACAAATTGATAACTTAAAAATAAAGCTGATCAATTGAAGCTAATTCAAGCTAAAGAGGCCTGTTTGATACAGAGTATACTCCATCCATCCAATCCAACCTATTATTCCTCCAAGCACAACCTTCCATGCGCCAGTTTCAACATGGTCCTTGGACTTTTCTCCAGACTCTTTTTCTCCTTTAGCAATGCCTCTGTCTCTCCCCCCAACCTACACTAAACGAACAAACAAACTCCCTTAGATTTGGCCTCACAACCTTTTTCTATTTGGACTTTGCAGCTTCTCTGCCGATTCTCATTCCTTTCTTAAAACCACTTATTTAGAGTTTCATCCGAGGACTGATGAGTTCCCTTATTGAAACTTAATTGAGGCAGAAGCCGACAATCTTATACATGTACATGCCACTGCCCTATATATACATGAAGCCTGTTTAAGGCTCCTTAGAGTTAGAGGTCATCACTTCCCTTCCCACCACGGTCCACCCCAATTTTTTGAAGCTCAACTAAAAAAACTTGCCCATTTAGAAAAAAAGAGTATATTATATACTTCGTAATGAATCAAACTCAAATGGAGAGGGAAAGCCATGATGCCACAGTCATTCATTCCTCCATAGCTCTATTGCAGGAAAGGTTTCGGCAGCTGCAGAGAGTGAAGGCAATGAGAGAGGAGAGAGAGATTTTGAGAATGCTAGCTCTCTGTGACTCAGAACCAAAGCATAAGCAGCAGTTGATGATGATGAAGATGAACACTAGCAATCCCATTCCCACCGTGCATAACAAGCCGGCCGTGGAAAGGTTGTTTTTCCATCCCGATCACCATGATCTTATTCAGCCTCATGGTCATGGATCATCAGAATCCGGAATTTCTCTGTCATTGTGGCCAGCACTGCAGAGCAAGCATGAGGATTATATACTATATAGGAGCACTGAGACCCCGCTGTTGATCAACTTATGGCCTTCAGTCACAGACATCTCTTCGTTAGACACTTGTTCAAATAAATCCCAAGGTTCCGATTGCGACTCTGATGTGGATACTTCTCTTCATCTGTAAACGAATTCATGCTCCTTAGAGTGTTACATGAATTGCTATATTATTATTTATTTAGGCATAAGCTAACCTTCATGCATTAGAATGATGCCATGGTGTAACATGCATGCATGCATGCATGAAGCTGTCAAAGTTTTCAGTGTATGTATCAAATCAAACTTGAAACATCACTCATGGAAGTGAAGTATGTATCACCATCCCAACCCTTTGGAACAAGAACAATGTGCTGGCTGTATGCACTCGGCATGCCTATATGAACTAATCTTTTCAGCTATCATCTGGAGAAATAAAATAATATCTTCCCCCTTTGAAAGAATTTTTGAACTATTTGTTTAGTTTTCGATTGCCAAATTTCCTTTCCATCCGGGATAAGTTAAAATGCTGAAGAGTTGCTCTAATTTCTAAACAAGAGTTCAATTTTTGATGTCTAAATGTGTTCCTTATCGCCTTATAATAGTCAACATTTCAAATGTTTCACAACCCTCGTGTAGGTGCTTAGTAGGTTTAGATCTTCGTCTTCTTCTTCTTCTTATTTGGACACGGCGCATTTCTTAAGACAAAAAACAGGGGCATTGCATATCAGCCAGCTTACGACCAAATGTTTTTGTGTTATTTAGTGAATGCTGCTCATGAAATCGCCTGTAAGTGTGATTTAGAAATAGGAACTGCAACACAACATACAACTTACAAGGCTAGACAAATTTCCACTTGTAATATTATATGTATATGCGCATTTACCCAAACACAAGGCAAAAGGATAACTTAGTGTAGAAACTTTAATTGCACTGCACGCCTGCTCCAGAAGATAAAAAGTTTATTTCATATCTTTCAATCTTTTGAGCTTCGAAATTTTAAATTTAATAACAGAGAGGATCCTTTTGTTGCATAAAAAAGAAGCATCCAGTCCACTTCCTTTAGTAGAATCAGCTTTCATTTCTGCATGCCATTCCATTCCAAAGACTCCAAGACAAAACGTATATCTTGAGAGAGAGAGAGGGAGAGAGAGAGAGAGAGAGAGAGAATGTTGGTATGTTTGTCTTTGTCATACATTATTGTCCACACCGCCCCCACATTCTTCCCTTCTTTTCTGCAGCGCACACAAAGCATAAGGGCAAAGGAACTCGAAAAACCGAACCAGAAAAGAAAAAGGCCCCCCAAAAAGATAAAAGAGCCTTTCAAAGCTGAAGAGGGTTTTTATTTTTATTTTTTATGGGAGCAGCTAGTTGACAGAGTATCATCCAATTCCAAACACTCCCTTCCATGTGGTTGTTTCAACATTCTTCTTGGAATTTTCTCCAAACCATTTTCTCCTTTAGCAACGCCTTTGCCTCTCCCCCCACATACACAGTACACTAAACAAACAAACTCCCTTAGATTTGGCCACTCAACCTTTTCTTTTTGGACTTTGCTGTTTGCCTGCCGATTCTCATTCCTTTTCTAAATCACTTAGAATTTCATCGAACAACTAAACTCACTGTTTAATTAATTAATTAATTGAATCAGACAATCTCATACAAACATGTTTGTTTGTACAAGGGAGTTTGTTTGTTTAGACAATCTTATACGAACAACTATATATACATATATATAAGGCTGCTCAGAGTTCACTCCTCCCCACTGTCGTTCCTTCTTCCATAGCTCTATTGGTTTAGACAGCCGCAGAGAATGAAGACAATGAGAGAGAGATTTTGAAAATGCTAGCTCTCTCCGACTCTGAACCAAAGCAGTTGATGATGTTGAATAGCAATCCCTCCCGCCACGCATTAAGCTGGCAAGGCTGTTTAACTTATATCCACCTTCATTATATTGAAAATGCTTTACAAGCCTGAGTTTCTCTCTCTGCATGGCCAACATTGCAGAGCAAGCATGAGGAGGAGAGAACTATACACATAGGAAAACTGAGACCCCACTTTTGATCAACTTACGGTACATTGATACATCACATGATGGCTAATCTTCTAAGTTCACATTAGGGGAGCCAAGAGTTTGATTTAGGCAGGGGCCCCATTTTCCTGTCGGAGTTTCACATTACAAGGTCTTGAGTGATCTCTGTGTACTCCATTGCTTGATACATCAAACAAATTGTTTAAGGCAGCTACAAATTTCTCGTGCGTGTTATTGATTACATGACATCAAAGTAGGGCAGGAAAAGTGAGCATGATTGAATTGAAACAAAGAAAATAAAATTGGAAAAAGCTACATTTACATACTAAAATTGGCATTAAAAAATTTATATGATTTATTACAACCGCATGTAATTGATTCTTTCTTCCATAAGGACGAGTTCACTATATACATTATGTAGGGGAAAAAATTGTCAAAACAAAATATTGATCCTCTGTATCAAAAATTTGAGAGACTCCCAGATGATGACGTGCCTCGGCACTCAGTAGGGACCGTCTAGGGATGTTCGCACCTTCTTGTGAAAACTGGAGTTTGGGAGGTTAAGTCAATCATTTACCAATTGTGTAACTGAGAACTTATGCTTTTCACGACAGGGTGGTAATCTGTGTGAAAGAGTCGCTTAGCCTTCTCTGAACCAGGATGCTCAAGCCACTCATCGTATAAGCTTTGCACTAAAGGGTTTCCAAAAGGATCCGCTATCAAAACCTGTACAATATTAAAGGATTGTCATTCAAAGCCTACAAACATCATCATTATTCTCAGGCCAAAGATAGGGTTCACTACCACAACAGCAAGCTAAATGACAAAATAAACAAAGTTAACAATTACAAAAGATCCATGCATGTAAAACGAGATAGTCTCATGGCGACTCTGTAAAGT